AAGTTCTGTCATCAAAAGAAGGCTGGATATAAAGCACTGACAGACAGATGAAGCAGAGAAACACTACCTGGTGTCTGAGGAAGAGTACAGGAAAATCTGTCAGGACTTTGTGGTATACAGGAGCTTCCATAGCCCCTCCCAACCAGCCATGTGCTACTGCTGCTGCAACCCACTGCCTGCTTGTAATTCTGCTCATCTTCAAGGTAAGCAGGGCCATGCCATGCAGCCCTGGGCAGTCTGAGACACTGAGCAGGAAGAGGAGAGAGCAAGTGGCCGGAGCTGGCGGAGCGCGGGGGTGGCAAGTGCCTGGAGCTGGCGGCGTGTGGCAGCCGTAGTAGGGCCTGTACAGCACTGTCTGCGGGGCCTGGGGAATATGTCCCAATTCTCCCCCCACCCTGGGACGGCCCTGGCTGCCACAACAAGGATCGGGTCCCTTCCAGGCATCTGCCCCGGCACACCAACTTCTTATACGTCAAGGTTGCTGCTTTTTTTCCCATTCTGCTCAAAAATGTTGCTGACCCCTGTATTAGAAGATCACATGTTGATACAGATTCTGAAACAGAATCTTGTGAAAATGGGTGGAAACCAGTCACGTATTTTACAGAAGGCACGTAGCCCTGCCAATAGTTATGGGTAATGTGCTCGGAGTAATCTTTGACAAAATATTATGCCCAGAATCAGACAAAGGAAGATCTTGAAAATGGTTTCGCCAATTATCAAGCCACAGTGCAAATTGATTTCTCTTGTAAGCAGTGACCAGAGAACCAAGAACCAAAAGGCGTTTCTGAACCAAAAACGCTCAAGTTTCAATCCTGTCGTTTCAAGCACAGCTGTTCTGGTAAGAGCAACTGAAAGGTTTTGTTTTTATTTTAAAGATGGGGGACAGGGATGACCCACAAGCTTCAGAACCTTGAACACTTCACTGAAATTAAAACTTTGTCCTCCAGAGAGCTGTCATTTTAGTTCTTTTTTTTCTTTTCTGGGGGGAGGGGGGCAGAGAGAGACCGTCTTTCAAGCTAAAAGACCTTATAAAAGGCTTGCTCTAAGCACCAATAAGGGAAGTGATAGTCATGCAGAAAGCAGATTATAAAAAGCATTCGGTACCTCAGTTGGTTTAAGCCTTAACACAAACTACAGACTTGCACAGAGAATGAAAACCAGGCAAGGAGCGAGATACAGAAACTGTTCCAAGAGCACACTAAGAAATCATGAGGGGAAAGAAAAAGAGATCTTCCCCCCCTTCCCTTCGTGTCTGGCCCGTGACTGCATCCCGACCTGGCCTCACTTCTCATTTGCCGGTGAATCCCAAGTGAAATTTTGGCTAGTTGCTTTGCACTGCTCGTGAGCCAGCAGCACTGCTGGCCAGGACGACAGAGGGAGCCTCTCTGGCCTTTCCTGCTCCAAATCGCAGGTCATTCGCCACATACCTGGACTGCAGCTGGTTTCCTTCCGGAGTTTTTGGACATCATCAATCTGCCTCGCCCCATGCGCTGCGTCCCCTGCAGCGAGTCAGCCCCGCCACCTAGAGCCGGGGAGCAAGAAAAGCAACAAAACTTTCCTTTTCCGGGAAAAACACCAGACCGGGAGGGCGGGGAGCCAGGTCACCGCACGGGCCCGTATAGCGGGCCAAGCGCGACTTATCTTCCCCAGCGGCCAGAGGAGCAGGGCAGAGCTGGCGGGGCAGGGGCAGTGGTCCTCTGGCCACGCCCCCTCCCGTCACTCGCCCCTCGGGGGCGGGGCGCAGGCACCTGCGCGGCCGCCCCCGGGCACCGGAACCGGACGGGCCGGAGGCGCAGGGCC